TAAGTCTTTTCAAAGTCTATAGATGAAAATAAATAGTGATTTTACATGTTTTCATCACCGTCTAAATTTTATCGTGCACTCACGATTATCTGGTAGTGTTTTATTTTTATTTTTATTTTTTTTCTACAAATCGAAATGATCTGAAATTAAAAGAATATGTACATCTTACTGAGGCGCATCTAATAAAAATATAAAAAATATTATCCGTAAAAATTAAATTGACCAAAATACCCCAGAAACATTTCTGGGGTATTTTGGTCAATGTTTTCATATAAAATATTTTTTTTATAATTTTCAAAGATTCCCCTATTTTTTATTAATACACACTTCAAACTTCAGATTATTCCGATTTGTAGAAAAAAATGAAAAATGAAACACTACCGGACAATCATGATTACGCGATGAACTTTGGATGGTGATGGAGATAAGCGAAATCACTGTTCATTTTCACCTATAGATGTTGTATAGTTGATGGAGATAGACGAAATCACTGTATATTTTCACCCACAAATGTTGCATAGTGTTTTTCTTTATATATATATATACATATATCATTACTTTATATAATATATATGTAGAGAGGCTTTCTAATGTGTTTTTAGGTCCTCTTAAAGTTCCACCTCATAAACCGTTATTTTTTTATTTATTTTTAAATTTTTTGAAAACTAATTCAGACTCTTATTGTCGATCCAACGATCTAACAAGAATTTTTGTGTGAACGATCTGTACCACTGATCCGGGATTTAGAGCAGTACTTGTGCCTATTGTTTGCTCCTCTAATTATATATTATAAAGCAACCACCACTCATTATTACGCATTTCAAGTTATTTTATTCATTGAATTCTTTCAATGGTGCTCCTTCACATAAAGGGACTAAATTGACCTTACCCCTTTTGTAGATGAGGTCCATTTTCTTTTGTTTATTTCCTTTTTTCTTGTTTTTGCAGTTCTTTCTTGTACAACACGTCCACTCGATCAAACATTTGAAGCCATCATCCTTTGCCAGACCACGTGAGTCTAAAATCTAATAAATGATCACAAGAGAGTTGAGTTTTTAGTTGAAATATGTGGTGGATTCTTCATCTTGTGGCCTTCTCCTTCACAATCTCTTGTTTCTCTCTGCCCTCATCTTCAGCGTCTATTAATGGAGCCACAATGATCTGCAAAGGTACAGAGGCCCCCACAACCACTGCCTCTTGAGAATCTTGGATGCATATTTCTTTGTCATTATTCCCTTTGTTGATAATACTTCTTTTTCTGCCCCAAAGGAAGGCATAGAGACCTCCTATTATAAGAATTGATCCAATGATGCTGTTTATCACATAAATAGTCAGATACTTTTTAATCTAACAACTAGAGAGACAATTATAAGACCCCCCCCCCCCCCCCCCCCCTTCCACCCTTAAGTTTTTTTTTTTTTTTTTTTTTGCGCAATAAGGTGGAGAAAAGAAAAGAAGACGACATGCATGTCAAGCATAATAATTTGAAAGGCCTGCTAGCTTGGTATTCCTTTTTCTTGGATGAACAATTTCAAATTTGAAACCAAACATGTTTGTTGTGGGATATGTGCCCTTAACTAAGCCAGAGGCTGAACCTCTTTGGAGCACTTAGCTCTATAGCCTGTGTCAGAGAATGTAACTGGAATTTGTGCTCACTAAACATAAAAGGAGAAAGAAATGCATGAGCAGTAGCATATGGGCAAGTTTGGATGGACCCGACTGTGTCTTCGGAGATATCCGAGAAATTTGGAACAAAACAGAGTATGTGTCCTCTTGATTTCCCAAAGGCAAAATGGCTTTTTCTAAAAAAAATTCTTTTTTTTTGGTAACTTATTTAGCAGGTTTGCAAGTCTCAAGTATGTATAAGGCCGAGGCTCTAAACCATCAAACTAAGGCGCACTTTCAAATAGTATCGAAAGATGTTTTAATACCGGAAATCTTTGTGATGGCCTAAAAATTTATTTTCATCTTTAATTATAAAATTTAACTAACAATTTATTTTCATCTTTAATTATAAAATTTAAAACTTAAAAAATAGTGTAGATCAAGCAGATATATGAACACTTGGAAATCTTGAAAATTGACGGTACAAAAAGATGCACTATTTCTAGGACTTTAAATCCTTTTTTTTTTTTTCCGCACATCTTGAGGTTGAGATGATAGATTTGAAAAAAATTTAGCATTGAGACAACCCCTTCTAGTGAACTTTTTAGGTGCGCTTTAATTTGATTATTTAGGGCCTCGCCTTATATAAACATTGTCTTTCAATTAAATAGGTTTCAAAAACGGAGCGGACTAATAAATATGTTTGAGCGGGTCAAATGTCTCCCTAAAATTTTAATGACTATTATTGGAAAACTTTTGGTGATGATTAGTAATCCGTCCAAGCACAACCCCTGAGTATAGTTTCATACTCGAGATTAGTATATTTTAGTAAAGGGAAAAGTTTATATAAGGTTGCAACCTTAAAATGTAGAATTACATATGCACCTAAAAAATCAATCCGAGAATGTTGTTTGAATGTTGAAAAATCCTCTAATAAATAGATCATCTAGACATCGAGATGTATGCATCTTCCAACATATTATCTAGACTGTCCATTTTCAAGATTTCTTATGTTTATAGATCTACTTGATTTTAACCATTTTTAGAATTTAAAATTTTATAGTTAGATATAAAAATAGATCTTCCGATAATCATAAGAATGTTTTAAGGTGCTTAAGGTTGCAACCTTATAGAAACCGCACCCTTTGGTATAAGTATCGGTGCATCACTTGTTATAAGATGCAGGCCCGAATATCGGCACCGTCCGATTATACTAAAAGGTGCAAATCACTTTTCACCCCATCCCTTGAAGTTCAAGATAAATCTGCATGGCCCAAACTAAGTGACCAAAGAGGGGGTTGCATACGCTATATCTTGTGGATCATGGCTCCAAAATTGGGTCCAGGGAAAGCTCTATGAGACCTCACTTATATATAAAGTACATGTGACCTCTGCACTCAGCCATCATATCAAAATAGATGGTTGTGATAGCTTGAGCCACAATGTCGTGAGTTGGATCTTGAGCATTAGGTCTTGATCTGACAATTCATAGTCTTTTATTTTAATCTTTATTGTATAAATCATTTTACAGTGAAATTTGGAACATATATACATCTCACAAAAGCACACATGATAATATATATATATATATATATATATATATTTCCTTAAATAAAAACTTATCATGATACCCCTTAAACCTTTGAGGGCATTTTGATCATTTATTTTCAAAAGAAATATTTTTTTTATTTTCTAGGTTCTCCTCAATAAGAAGATGGGATGCCCCAAATTTTATTCAGAAATGTTTTGTAGAAAATAACTAAAAATCTAATCGTACATAGTGACATGAGTAATCCTAGCTATATGGTGACATGAGTAATCCTAGCCATTTATTCTGATTAAGAAGTCGGGTTACATATAATTTATATGTGGATGGGTCAGGTTTCTCATTTAGAAATCCATAATCAAGATATATGCTATTGGACTACCTTGATGAAACAAACCAATAAAAAGAGAAAATAATAATATTCTTGGGCTATTATATTATTACTTACTTTCTTGCGTAAAGTACTTCGCCTTGGAAAAGTGATCGGAATATATCAACGAACACAAGGAGAATGGGGTTGAACATTGTGAAGCATGTGGGGCCTCTCCTTTCCACGCACCATGCGATAAGGCAAAATGATGCCCCCGACACCAACACACCCTTTGTAATGTCACCAAAGTAAGCATCTTTCTTTCAAAATCAAAGTAAATGATAAGAAAGGCTATTATTTCCATAACAATGATCACAGGATAAGGGAAAAGTTTATATAAGGTTGCAACCCTAAAATGTAGAATTACAGATACTTCAAAAATCCATCGAAGAATGTTGTTTCAATGCTGAAAAACCTTTTATTTGATCATCTAGACATTGAGATGTATGAATATGAAAAAACAATGAATATGAAAAACAAAAAGATTCTAAGTCCCAAAAATAGTGTATCTTGTAACACATTATCTAGACGGTCCATTTTCAAGATTTTCCTATGTTTATAAATCTACATGCTTTTAACTATTTTTGGATTTTTAAATTTTTATAATTAGATATGAAAATAGATTTTCAGATAATCTTAATAATTTTTTACACTTAAATTACATGTTATAATAAAATTTGGAGGTGCTCTTTAATTGGATTGATTAAGGTTAGAAACCACACCTTAAATGTTAATTTAACTAAACTAAGTTTGATCGCTTTGTCAGTGAGGACAATGTTTGAACTCCAAGTTGTTTAGGAAAATTGCGAGTAAGACATGCTCCCACAGGAGCATATCTCTCTTGCCAAGGAGAGGATTTTTTGGAAATGAAAGTTTAACATCTATCAAAGAATTTGTTTAAAGCCAAAAGCTGGGAGAATTTTGGATGGAATTATCTATGATTCGTTTTCTCAACATAAACAATTAAGAGCCAGTTTAGAATGTGGGGTGATAGATCTCAATCTCTAACCAAAATTAATTAAAATAAAGCTAAAGAAAAAAAATATAAACTTCCATGAACTCAGGCCAATTGGTCCAAGACACCCGCAACCCATAATTGGGGCTTGTATCATGATTAAAGGTTGATTTATACCTTTGTGCCTTCTTTTTCTTGACAAATTTGTTGAATTGGACGTAGGGTTCTTTTCTTCCTAGGGTCCTTTGATGAGGAGATTTGAGCGATTGTAGATAATTTTGATGTTAGGTAATTAGGATTTTAGAACCTAGGGTTTCTAAAGAGTTGGGCCAAACAACTCTTTAGGAAGTGATTAATGATGACCTATGTTCTATACCCCGTAACCAGCCCATCATCTCATTCGTGGATCCACAATAATCCCCTTAGTTGCTTTTGCAAATGTGTGCACCTATACATTTTTCTTTTTTTTTTGGGATAAAAAAGAGGGAATGAATAGCCCTTGCCCTATTTCCATTAATTAAAAAATGATACAAAATTACAATGAGGATGCCCTTCAAAGGAGAATATTTGCCACATGACCAAATCAATAAAATTAGGAAGTCAAACCCTCCAATATATAGCCTCAGAAGATTTTGCACCAACCTATGTTAGTGAATCAACAACATAGTTTGTTTTCTGATACTCATGGGTTAAGGGTCATCATGTAAACAAAAGAGCAATTATGAATTAGGGTTTGGAATAGTCATGTAGGTGCAAAATTTCTTGAAATGGAACCCACTAACAACACAGAATCACTCTCAATCCCAACATTATCATAGTTGAGTTCCTTTACCACTTGAACTCATATTTGCAATTAATTGAATTCAGTTGTAGTATTGGTTATACCATTCCCAATCGGGGGGTTAAAGCATCCATAAAACACCCATTGTGATCTCTAATGATATCTCCACTACTTGCTCTGCCTAGGTTTCCAGGTGATGCTCCATCAATATTCAACTTTAAATAGCCTGTTCAAGTTGCGAGCCAACTTAAATCAAAAGCTCTTCGATGGAGCCAATAAATTCAGATTCTCCATAATAGCTCCTTCCCTAGGGCTAAAACTCTCCTTGCGAGTGCCATGCCCTTAATAAGACGAAGACGAATGATATATAATAACATCTCTTCTCTAGTTGCAATCCGACCAGAAGTTATCTATTTCTTTCTTCCCAAATGAATCATATAGTTTAAGAAAAAGGCCAACAATATCTTCGACATGCTTTGTCATTTAAACCTGAAGTTCCACCACATTAGAAACAACTGTACAAGATTCCTACTAGCATGGAAAGATTTTTCATTTATCATAATGTAAACTATCGTAGTAATTTTGAAAAAATGTATTCAAGCAAAAGGTGGATAACTGATTCCTTATGAGAGAGAGACAATAGGCATTGAGAAACCAAATTACTATACTAGATTGAATGAGCATTGTAGTGGGAAGCTATCCATGGGGCAGCTATGTGAACCATTTAGCTCGATGGGGATGCACTTGCCTTTCATGATTCTTTAAGACTAGGTCAGATTGGCCCCTTACTTCAAATAAGCTCCCAAACCCCTTTAATTGAGAATAAACCATTAGATGAGCATAAACAAATCAACTGATCATCCACTGACTTGGCAGGGAATAACATAAGACCTAAGAACATCTCAGGCATGTATTAGACCTCCTAAGATAAGGTTAGACAACAACCAAGCTTGGGAGGAGCGGCAGATGAAAACACCTATCTTGATGTTTAAGCAAACTCCCAACTCTCTATGCAGATCCTGGCAAAACAAATCACTTAATTGACATTTTAGTAACCATGGATCTACCCAAAAATCAATCATTTTATCATTCTCAACCAGCCATCCAACTCTCTCTCTTTGCAAATTGATTCCCATATAAATACCCCTCCAAGGGTGAGATCATATCCTCTTTGGAGCAACCCGCCATACTGAAGGCATGCGGAAGTATTTATACTTGAAGAACTTAGAGATGATCCTCCCAACTAGCTTCATCATTCCATCCTTATTATAATCGCAAGTTCTTCTTTTGCCAAGACCACCCTCCTCTGCTTCGAGATATGTTTTATCCAAGCTTATAAGATGGCCCCTTGAATAAGCGTAGCAACCCATAAGAAATTTCTTTGTAGCTTTCAATAAAATGTTTAATCTTATGGAGAATAAGAAAGGAGAGCAACCAATATATTGATGATGCACAAAGAACTGATTTTCAACTGTTGAAGGTGACTTGCAAGGAAGGACATGTCACTTGCCAAGACCCAATTTTACTAAAACTTTACCCACCCGAGCATGCTATTAGGGGCTTCCAAAAATCATGAAAAAGAAGAATACCAAGATATTTAGATGGTAATTAATCTTCACAACATTTATTATGGATTTCTTAGGCTCTGTTACCCCAGAGAAAAATAGAATTGCTATTGGCTGAATTTATGCTTTGGTCAATTGCATTGGAACAAGTAAGAGTAAAGATGCTAGTAAATTGGCAAAGGTGGTGGATTCTTCCCAAAGAAAATCATACATCAAATGAATAACCCCAAAATTTAGTACATGGGAAAAAAGCTCAAAAATCTCTGAGATTTGAAAAAATAATCCAATTGTCTACTGAGGCAATCCATCACTAACAGAAACATGTATGGTGATAATGGTCCACGAGATGAAGACCCTTTATGGCCTTAAAGAAACCATAAGGGGCATAATGAAGGATAGAAAAAGCAGACGTTGAAATACAACAAATCCAATGCACACATTTACCAAAACATCCGGAGGAGAGTCTACCCAACAAAAAGTCATTTACCCTATCATAAGTACTACTAATGTCGAGCCAAATGCACATCTTATGTTTACGGGACACTTGACCATATTTTGAAAACAATTCATTAGCCATAAGAACATTATTCGAAATCAAGTGACCTTTAAGGTGGCAACTTGAATCGAATGTATGAGAATATTCATGACCCATTTCAACCTAATGGCTATGATTTTGCTTCATTTTTTGAAGAACATTACACAATCTAATTAGTGAATGATCTTTCATATGGGATAAGAAAATTTACTTTAGGAATGAGGCATGTGATTATAGAGCTAATATATTTAATAAACTCTCCCTTTTAAAAAAATAAAAAATGGCCAAGAGCAAATCTTTAGATAGTATATCCCCACTCAGTTTGAAAATTCAACATTGAGACCATTAGGATTAGGAGTGCTTTGCTGGTCATCTCTCAAATGGTTTCTTTAATCTCCTCAATAGTTACCCTTCTTAGAATCTCCTACAACTGGGCTTCTGAAATCATGATATGATGATAGAGATAGCTATTGAAGTTAAGCATATCTTTCTTCACCACGTTCTTATTAGAAATGGTGTTAACTAGTTCATACTCAATATGGACAGCAAATCATGTCTTCTTCTAACCCATCATAATTTCTACATCATAACTCTTTAGATTTTTGCCTCCATTAGTGTTCCTCTGAGCAAAACTGTACTTTCAACTGTTTGGTAAGTTATGTTTCCTCCTCGTCAAGTGAACTATCTCACAGGTTAATGCAAGTTGAACATGAACTTGGTTAGAGTCTCCCTTATTTTGCCATGTATATCTCCATAAATATCTTTATTCCACCTTTAAAGATCAGCCCTTTAAGTGCTTCTGTTTTGTATTAAATCTAAATATGGATATTCCAACAACCCCTTTCTTCTGCAAATCTTGAATAACTTGATCAACATTTGGACTTTATTCCAAATAGACAGAAATATGAATGGCTTAGGTTCAGGTGGTGCAACATAGGATAAAAAACTACAGGGCAATGATCTGAGATGACCATAGGTAGAATACCAACCATTGTTGTGGGGAAGTTAGCAGGTGAGTCATAAGTGCAATGCCCCCATTAAGTTTCTCTTTAATTCTCCTTCCCCCATGATAGTCATCGGACCATGAAACCACCCTCTAAACTGCAAAATTCTAACAAATCACAATCCATTTAGGGTTTTTGAGAAATCCTCGGCATCATGAATATCGATGTACACACCTGCAACCATGTCGTAAAGATTCAAAAGAAAGTTAAAATCACTTAGAAGTAAATCAATGAGTTGAAACAAGATTATTCATTTCACGAATGTTTTACCAAACGTTTTTCATCTTGAATGGTGAATTATATCCATAAATACGCAAGACGCTTGCCCTAGACTCAGTATTGTTCAAAACAACCACTATTGTGACTGCCTATTCAGGTATTTCAATAATTTAACATCAAGCATATTAAGATTTCATAGTGCTAACAATATATTATTTTCACCAACTACATTTGCTAAGTAGCAACAATGGAAGCCAAGATTTCTCTACCAACGAGCACCACTCAAAACCTGTAATATGATTTCCAGGATAAATAATATTGCAATATTTGTTCTTGCCCACTAGGTGCCTTATTTCACTGCATCTCCCAGGGCCATGAATACCCTGAACTTTCCATGTAGCTATTGACATTAAAGAGATGGAGAAGAAGGCTCCACGGCATGTTTACTGTTTTTGGAATCACCCCTAGCACTGGATTTTGCTGCACTCATCCTAGAGTCCTTAATTGCCATTTATTTGCTTGGGCACTCTTCAAACCTTCCTCAACACTGGATTGAGAGGTTTGTTGAGAATTTGAGTCCCCTAATTTCATGGAATATGAAGAGTATTTGGGGGAAGGTCTTGGTTTATGTAGAGTTAAAACTATGAGGGAAAATTATGTTATTACTTCCTCCTCAAGCTTGTCATTAAATATTGGTTTTCCAGAGAATTCTTTATAACATCCCTTCTAAAATTTTGGTGTTGTCAAATTTCTATGTAACAAACCTCCTTATGAGCTCCAAGAATATTCAAATTGTCTTTGGAACCTTTCTTTTGACGATCCATAGTTTCCAAAACCACCTCATCTAGGATATGAAATTCTTTGCAGATGAGATTATTATCAAGATTGCCATCAAGATTATTATTTCCAAAACGCTTTGTAGTGTAATTAAAGGGGTTTGTAATTGACCATACTGAGCATTGCCTTTTGTTTTGATTGCACCCTATGTGGAATGGGGACACAAATTTTTGTTGGCTACATTTTGTATAAGGAATAGAAATTTTGTAACTACTTAATACCTAAATAATATAATATAGCCACTTATTCTAAAAAAAAGGGACCTAGAACCTTAGTCTTAGACAATAACTTTCTTTCCTAAAAATGGGCGACCTATCTTCAATTCATTTTCTCTCTAATTAAAATGAAATAACGTGTTTTCTAGGTTTCTTTGTTGAATTTTTCATGATTTCTTCACCTTGAACAAGAGGATGTGTGTGCCAAATTTGAGTCAAAATGGACTCCCCTGAGGCCGCCAAAATGGGGGAGGGTAGGTACTCCACCCTTGGGTGGACAAAATACTTTTGCTTTTCTCTATTAGATTTTGCTTACAATGTTCTTGTGTACTTAGCAAGTGAAGATATAAAAGGTAATAAAATAAGATTATATTTGGAGCATGATGCATACCATTTTATTTTATTTTTTTGAAACTTGATGCATAACATTTGTACTGTCCATTACAAATGGAATGTCTCAGATGATAATGCCATTATCAACAAAGTCAATAACTAGTGTTTGCTTACTGAAATGGCCAACTACCTTGATATGCAAGTGTCCATTTTTGCATTAGACAGTCAAAATTCTACATAGTATTCATGGAGTACAAACTCTTTTAGTAATTAGCCTTACCGAGGAAAGGGGCTAGGGTCATGGTGGTAGTATCCCCACAGTTACCGCATCGTGGTATCCATTTCTACCACTGACACAACCAAGTAAACATCTTCAAAATGTAACTCCCTAATCTATTGAAAAAATGCGTAGGGACCTGTCTTTCCCACTAAATTTCCAGAAAAAAAATAAAAATAAAAAATGGCCTTACCGAATAAACAATGGTTAGAAGTTGTAGGTCTATGTGTAGCCTCCACACTAAAAAACTTCGTTCTAAACCCATCACAAACGATTGAATACTTGCCATAAAGCATGTTAATGCCGTGGCCGTGAACTTTGAGGGAAATATAAGGAGCAATTTAGCCTGGCCATAAAGAAAACCAGTTAGGTTGGTACTAGAGAAAGATTAGATAAAATTTAACGATAAAATTAAAAATAGAAAATACTTGAACTATAAATAATGCATACAAGCTGAGACAACTCCCTACAAGGAACAGAGAACCACAAGTCCAGTTTTTCATTGGCAATGATGCTTTAGAGGTTGTAGCATGATGAACATGTGAGCCCCATGCGTTGAATGCGGGCCCTTTATAGAGACAAATAATGGTAGCTCCCCCGACACATACCAAAGTGCCCCCTACTTTGCAATTCCACTACTCGTCCCGATACTTAGCTTCTCTAGCCTAAATTTATATAAAAATAAATAAATATATAAACAAAAAACAAATTTAGGTTTTTAGAGAAGGAAAAAAAAAGTAAAGAGATATTGCAATAGTTAGCTCCATGGTTACTTGATTATTTAACATTTATAGTGTTTTAGGCCATGTTTAAATGTCCTAGTAGCCATGTTAGAGCCTTAGGTTTCTTTGTCATTATGAGTGCTTGTGAAAATAGAAACTTTTAAATGGCCATAATGACTTAGGATAACATCCAAGTCCTTACCGATAAGGCTAGGTTACATCCCTAAAATTGTGCCCCTATATAGTGGTGTCCCTATATAGTGGTGTGATATAACCTATTCAAGCATAAATATGAGCAAATTTTATCCCATGACTAGAATAGTTGATGTCCAAACAGGTCATAAGGTACTAACTATCCCAATAGGAGTAAAGATTGAGAGATTCAAACACTTCTTGCTCACCTTCTAGCTTTTCAAGAGAGAGACAGAGAGAGAGAGAGAGAGAGCATATATTGGCTGCTAGTTTCTAAGAAGGATAAAAGAGTTCACCCAACACAGCAAAATTAGATTATGGTTGATAAGTAACTGGTGTTCAACTTAGTTACTGTCCTCCTTTCTGCACTGGAATTTGTTTTGGAGCTAAATAAAGAACATAATTTCTGAACCTACCACAATACTTCCCCTTTGAATGCTCTCTCTCTCAGCTTTGTTCTATCTCAAAAAAAGAAAATTCTTGAATAAGAGTATAGAATGGGGGAGGGAAAAAGAGTATCTTTTGGGGTATTGTCGCTACTTTAAGAATCCGTGGCGCCAATGTGGGTTCTTTCCATGAATCCTCAGTGAAGACGATAAGATAGTTGTGTATTTACAATTTTTTGAAATAAAACAGTGCGACATTGGTTTTTGGAGAATGAAAGAGCCTCTTTCATGGCCTTGAAGTTTAAAGGCGTGTGGGACCTTGGGTGTTCGTCCTAGAAAAGGTGCAGGAAAGAGTGAACATGAAGGTACAGAAAGAGGGGCAGGGGGTGGAGAGCATAGTCAGCAAGTATCGAATTTAAAACACGATTTTTTCAAAAAATCTCGGATTTTTTTAAATCCGTTTGAAGCTCTGACTTTTTCAAGAGATTTTCAAAACATCATGTTTTTTTATGGAACTAATGTAAACTCGTATTTTATCTTTTTTTCAAAAAACCTTTTGAAAATAACTTCTCTTCTATGTAACTTTATTTCTTCATTAACTTAATATTATTCAATTTTTATTTAAAGATAAGGAAATTAATAGTAAGAGTAAATTAAGAATCTTAATTTAAAGTAAAATTCCATAAAACAGTTCACTAATAATTTCTGTTAAAAAAAGTTGACAAAAAATTATAAATAATGTATTCACTAAAAAACGAGATATCAGAATACTCGTATACCTCAAAACAATAGGAAGAGTTAGAAAACTAACCCAATGAAAAATGTTTTTTTTTTCTTTTTTTCTTTAAACCCAGTTCATCCATATAAAGAGCATTTAGTGTGAAATTAGAATTTGCTTAGAGATTTTGTATACTAAATATTTAAGCAACTAGGAATTCAGCATGAGATTCTAATTTGCTTAAACATTTTGTTGTTTTCTTTATATATAGAGAAGTTTGATTAATTGTATTTTTTATTTTTTATTTCATTGGTGTATATAACATAGCATTTTGGATGGACCACTATTTTACGTATTTGGGTCTGTATTTTGTTTTAGTTAATTGGAATCATATGTTGAGAGTCTTTTTCGTGTTTTTTTTCATCTTCAAACATTAATCCTATATTTTAGTTTACAGTTTTTGTTATCAATTTTTATAGTTCTTGTGTTAAGTATTATTTATATTTCATTTTATGCTCCAAATAAGCATGTGATATGTTTCGTGTTGTGACATCAGATTAAGCACTGTCATTGGACTTATTGAAAGTTTGGATAATAAATTGTCAAGTATCACTCAAATGACACTAGATAAGGTCATAAAATTATTGTTCAATGGCTTTAATGTATCTATATAATAACTGCAAATCATAATCCTATATTATGTCATCTTTATATATTCGATTTTTTCACTCCTTTTTCTAGACAAAGCCGAATTATTCACGACTTTATAACTTGCCTCGTTTTTTGGCGATCTGTATTTTTTCCACCGACTTTTTAAAACAAAATCGATTCATTACTGATATTTTGACTTGCCAACGTTTTATTATTCTCCGACTTGTTAACTATGATGGAAAGAGTGTGAAAGGATAGAAAAGTATTTTCCTAAAAGAAAGGGCAAAAAAAATTCAATGAACAGTGTTGTTGTGTATTTAAAATACACAAAATCATTCCCCTAACAAAAAACAAAAAGTAATAAAAATAATAATATAAAAAGGAATATATATATATATATATCGTAATGATCCTATAGGACTTCAAAAGATCATCATTAAAGTTGGCACGGATCTCTAGAAAAGTTATCACATAGGTGTGGGACTTG